ATGAAATCGGATCCAACAAACTCGACGGTGTTTCGTTTCTTTTGCGACTGGCGTCTCGTTTCTGCGCCAAAATATTTTCTTGATGAACGAAAATCAAAAAAGAAAACTGGTAGAAACCGATTCCAAATTGATCAATATGAAAAGAATTGAGTGTTTGCGAATATCTAAGTCATAAGAATTACACTATATTTATAACATCATCTATTATAATATTCGCTCGTTCTCGCTTTTTCACTCCGACCATCCATCTATCTATCTATTGTAGTCTCTTCATGTCTATCTACCTATCTTCTGTAATCTCTTCAGATCTATCTATCTATCTATCTATCTTCTGTAATCTCTTCAGATCTATCTATCTATCTATCTTCTGTAATCTCTTCAGATCTATCTATCTATCTATCTTCTGTAATCTCTTCAGATCTATCTATCTATCTATCTTCTGTAATCTCTTCAGATCTATCTATCTTCTGTAATCTCTTCAGATCTATCTATCTACTGTAATCTCTTCAGATCTATCTATCTATCTATCTATCTATCTTCTGTAATCTCTTCAGATCTATCTATCTATCTATGGTCTATTTATATGTATGTATGTATCTATTTCAAAAATTATAACTAGTTAAATTTATACAAAATCTGAAAAAGCAACAAAAAGAAGCATCTAAACAAGATTGAAAATCATTTTCATTTATTTTAATAACTTTGGACCTTTTCCTATCGAGTAATTTATTGAATGTGCTTAGATTTGTTCTTATTAATTTTTCGAAATCTGCTCTTTATTTTTGAATAACCATATAATTCATTTTCTAGGTTTATCCAGAGGGGCATCCATTTTTGGAAGAAGATTATTAGCATGAAAAGAGAAGCTTAAATCAATAAGCTTGTCCTTGGGCTTCTAGACGCTTTATGCTCTATAACTATAAATGCCTGTGAATTCTGACTAATACATTAAAATTGAATTGGAACTTTTATTACGTTTTGACCCATTCCCGTATTATACGTTTCACTGCAATGTGCAGATTGCATGAAATGTGTTTTCATAGAGATAATAACCAGAGTATTTGAATTTATATTCAATCTGCATGGTGCATATAAAAGATGTTTAAAATAATTCTTCTTCTTCTATATGTCGTGCCCACCCTAGGATATTGGCGATCATAGTTCTCCACAATTTCCAGTATTCCGTTACTCTTATTAAATTTTGTGTTTTTGTTATCTCTTCGAAATCTTGTTCTGACATCCATTTACATAAATTCGTTATGTGTCGTTTTTCTCTGTCTCTCTTGCCTTCAATCCGTCGTGTGAGTATCAGATTTTCCAAACCCTCTTTCCTCATTATCTGCCCTAGAAATTTCAACTGTATCTTTCCGAAATTGTCTTTCTGTTTCGATTTCCCAAAACTTTGTCATTGCTTATTTGTTCGTTTCATGGTCGTCTAATTCTTTTGCTAAACTTAATTTTTCTTGCCTCAACTCTCTGCTTCATTAGTGAAGAAGACTGTCCAGCATTCCATACCATATAGGTGGATCGATATTAAATAAGAGTTAGGTATTATTTTCTTTGTCTCTAACGAAATTTTCCCGTTTCTTCACACTTTGTTTAGCTTTTGAAAGGCATCTTTCTCTATCCCAAATGCACCTTCGGATTTCAGTGTCTAATTTTCCGTCCTTTGTTAAAACAGTTTCTAGATATTTGTACTTGTTTGATTCTGGTATCACCAACTTCTAATTCGTATGCTGGGCTCTTCGTCTGATTGGCAACCATACATTCTATTTTCTTACAATTGATGTTTAGTCTTTTATTTTCACTTTTTTTTTACTACCTTCTGTAAGAGTCCCCATAGTTCTTCTTCTCTGTCTGCTTTGAACATGTCATCTGCATGTTCTAATATTGTGGCTGCTAACAATCAATCCAGCTAGGACTCCTAATTCTCTCAGAATCTCCTCACTGAATAAATCTGGTCAGAGAGACATCCTTTCCTTATATCCCTTTCTATTTTTGTATATTTACTGAATTAATTTTCAATCCGTTTACAAGCGGTTTTCCTCCCAATATGGCCTCTGGATTTTATTCTAATACCCTTCCTAAATATGTCAAGGTTATCTAGCAGTTCGCAACTCCTTAAGACGTACTTTATCAAACGCTTTTGCATAATCTATAAAACACAGGTACACATCCTTCTGCATTTTTATTGCTTTTTCTTATATCATTCTGAGAATAAATACAAAATTAATTTTTCAATGACTTTAACGAACCCGCAATGTTCTTGTCATATTTGCAGACTAATTCTTTTATAGTATATAAACTCCTATATTTTACGGCCAGTAATTGAAGCAAATAAAGTAAGAAACGTCAACAAATAAATCTTACTAAAATTCAGTAGATACGAAAAACCTTTTAGAATTCTCTATAAACACGGCTCCAAATGAAAAAAAAATAATGGTTTCTACGACGTCCACGCGGTTGAACTTCAAATGAACTGGAAATGAGTCAGAACCCATATTACTGAATACCTTCACGTGCAAAACTCAGATAGGATTCGCCATAAGTCATAAAAACTGCTCGCCGAAAAACAATCAGTGAAGGACAGTCGACGAAAGAAAGCGAACCAAACCAGGCTTCGGTCAACAACATAAACACATGTACCATGACAATGTGTATGTCAGCGATGATTTTTCTACATAAAACGCCACGACGAAAGTAAGTCTTGTTTACCGTCTCTTTGTTCACCATATTTTAAATTTACTGCTATCGCACGTAATCAGTCAGCTGTCACATACATTTCGTGGGTGTGTGTTTCACACACACAAACACACACCAACATATTGGCGTACCATACCACTCGATTTTGTCATTTGCAAAAAAAAAAGCCCTTAGAAACTTTGCAGATTCACCTTCTAGAAATCATTTCAGACAATCGAACTATTGATCTCTTCATGACCACAACAAAGAACATTGATTTTTAATAATTAAATACATCTACCTGACTGTATAAATGTTACTATCATATTTAGGTTGGTATTCTTCCGTTTCTGTGAACATTATACCTCCACGTTGTTCATAAAATTATGTTCTGTTTGTGGACACGACACTCTGATTTTATTTTTCCTCCTAAAATCTGGGTTGATTGACCCCACACTCTAGTTAAATCTGTTTTCTGGCGGTTCGCTCCAGGTATAGTTTCTGGTTTATTTTAATATCCTTTCCAAATATATCAAGCGTACCTAAGAGTTCAAGGAAATTCAAGGTGGTGAATATATTTTGATTCCCATTATTTTTTCGGGCTTTTAATCTCTGATTGTGAAAGAAAACATATACTTAATTCTCGTCGCAGACAAAATCATTTAAAATCTCCGAAAGTTTATTTTATATTGAAGTTTCAAAATTGCAAAATAAATTTTATAAAATTATATGCTTCAAGATAATGGCGCAAAACCTTTAAATAACGTTCCACTTTGACCCAAATTTATTATTACTTTAAAAACATTCCCATTCAATGAATATTTATGTGTACACAAATACTGTAAGATTAGATTTTTGACTGTGTTTAATAAATCATTAGACAATGAAGCATATTATTAAAATCGTAATCAAACATATCAATACGTTACTAGGGAAATTAAAGAATAAAATTCGTGAAAGATAAAATAATGCCTAGAAAAATACAATAAATACATAAGTAATATTTTATTCTGTGAATTTTTAGTTTCATAAAACATTTATTTTGTCTGACTATCAGTTTCGTCAAGCATGTCTCTTGATTCTAAATGAAAAATCTGTTCTGATGGTACAATTATTTACTCCTGTCTTAACAGTAAGACTGATCAGTTCGATAAAATCAAATTGGCAGCTGATCTAAAAAAATTGCATATAACATATTTTTACTTAGGGCAAGGAATCGCTTGTTAATTTTAATGCCTGTAAAACGAAGCTGCTCTTTTTAATTGTCTGAGTGAAGACTTTTTACCTAACATCAGCATTGCTAGTGCTAATCTCCAGAAAAGTGACTCATTGCGTCTTCTCGAACTCACATTTTCGGCTTACATGAAGTTGAAATATTATATTGAATTAATTGCAAGGCCTGTTGCTAGGAAAGTCGTTTTACTGTGTCTTGCTAAGTCTACCATATGCCCTTGCTTTAAATATTGCTGCCACATCTGGTCTGGTGCTCCTGCTAAATATTTAGAGATTCTTGATAAAATCCAAAGAAAAATCTGCAAAGCAATTAGTCCTGACATGGCATCTCGGCTTCAGTCGCTTTCCTACATCGCTATAAAATAACGTCCCTGTGCCTTTTCTGTAAAAACTTTCATGGTAATTGTTCTGATGAGCTTTGCTCTATGGTACCTAAACTTTATGAATTTAAGTGCAGTACGAGATTGGCGACAATGTCTCCTCGTTTTACATCTTAAACAGTTAGATTTAACCGTAACTTCTAAGATAACAGTTTCTTCTCTCACAATTCTAGTATGTAGAAATCTCTTCAGTGTCAATCGTTATTAATGTACTTTTATTGTTCTCTCTCTCCTGAATAATGTTCTTTTCTAATATTTTCTAACATTCAGTAAATCCTTCCGTTTTGCTGGCTTCATTGCATTGTTTGGGGGTTGAATGATGAAAAATGATCTTCTGAGATTAAGTTTTCATTGTTATGCATAATTTGAATTATTGCGTTCAAATATGTTATATAAAAGTGAACATAGAAGTCAACACTTAGAGGCGACAGTCTGTTTTATGCTAGTTGCAATCTTGAGGCCAGTCAGGTGGCCTGACGATTGCATTGAGCAGGAAACAGACTGTCGCCTCTAAGTGTTGACTTCTATGTTTATTTTATATCTACACACGCTCTATCTCTGATATTGAGCACTTTATCCCATAAATACACCACATGTTAAGACTATATTTCTTGACACACACACACATATATAATAAAAAGGCTTAAGCACTTTTTTATTATATTCTTACTCTGTCCTGGACATTGAGTTCTATCTGGATTCTCTCTTGAATATATATATATATATATATATATATATATATATATATATATGTATATATATATATATATATATCATCATCCAGCCGATAGATTTTCGGTCTTCTTTGTATCCGGTTTTTATAATGCGTTTACTACATTTTTCCCTGTTTTTGTTGACTTAGCTGTTAGCTTTGGTATTGTTATATATCGTACCTATGAACACTAATGAGTATATCCCAATCCTCATAAATCCGTTGGACACAATTGTAAGTGGGGCCAATATGCTGCCTAAGCTGGCAGCGTGACCTGTCAACGTGGGAAACTTTTGCCGTGTCAAACTCACTGCCTTCGGGCAGAGAGGAACCCGGACAAGGCTATGCCGAAGGTCAGAGTCTCGTCCGGGGAGGTAGACAGATAACCGATCTCGCGTATGTGGTGTCTACGGGCAATTTTTTTTTCCGTGGTCACGGGCTCGGATTTCCCCACATTAAATTTGGCCTTGTGCAGCATCCTACCTTGTGGGGGAGGTAGGTAAATATCGTAATATGCTGTCTAAGTAATCCAGCACCAGCTGTGGTTTACCTACTTCACGCCGCTGGCGAGTATTGTATTTTGTTGATATTCTAAAGATTACCATTTCATTTCCAACCTCCGTTTTGGTTATTCCTCATTCAGTAAGCCTTTCTAGATTAAAACAGATATTTTCTAAGCTTATCTTGTTCTGGTTCAAGGTTACAGTGGGGATTAAACTCATTTGGCATACAAGAATTATGTTAGAAGCTTTGGTGAACTGGTGTATTCCATTAGAAAAAAATGGAAAGCAAGAAAAAATATAATAATCGAATTTTAAAAATCCTATATAGTAATACAAATTGTGGAAGCTGATGAGTCATCTTTTAAATTGACACGTCACGTCTGTATACTCGAATGGATGACATGTAACTCGTTCAGCAATATCTACGCTATCATCTATATAAAACTGTTTTCTCAGAGTAATGATTAAAAATGTCTTCAGGCGAATTAATCCATTAGATTTTAAAGAAAACAATCCTTCATCAAGTCCTATAGACTGGTGCTGCACAATCACAAACAAAGAATATACGAAATAATAATCTCACAGCAACAACAACAACACTAATGGGGAGCATATGTAACTATAAGGGAAAATAATGATAGAATCAAGATGTTGATTTTTCATTCTGCCTTAAGCAAAATGTTTGGAATCAAAGTCCTATGACTGTCAAAAAGAGCTACAACAATGAACTTGAGAACTATGATTTCTTCCAAAACTGTTTGAAGAAAGAGATTTTATACATTTTCAACCGACAGTAACTATTCAGTTAATAAATGCAAAATGTTTCCCTATAAGAAAACGACTAACGTTAATATTACCATCAGTTCCCAGGCAATACGAATTTAAGCGTGTTACTAGGTTGGCATCTCAGTCCCACCTTTTCCCTGTCGAAACTGTTAAATGTAGGCGTCTCTTCTACCCCAATAGCTCCATGTCTCGCACTTCCCGTGTGTGTAACTCCCTTCCTCTTACATGTTTCCCTGATAGCTATAATCCTCAATTATTCAAATGCAATGTCAATCGACATCTTCAGATGCCTTGATCTAATTCCCCGTCCCACTCTTCATCTTTTCTTCTATCACGTCTCTTTACTCTTGTTCCCACTCTTTGTAACCCTTTGCGTGTTAGTGGCACTCCCGCTTTGCTAGAGGTAAAAGGCTTAAAAAAATACCTCAAAAAAAATAAAAATAGGTATTTATGCGGATGACACAACCACTTACTCCTGTCGGGACTGTCGGATGTTCCACTAGCAAATCCGACAATCCCGACATAGTATACCTGTAAAGTAAGTACATTCCTTGTCCCAGTTAACCACTAATGTCCAATCAGTGGTTAACTCGGGCCAGGAATTGCTTGTAAATTTTAACGTCCCCTTCCAAACAAAACTGCTTTCATTTCCTCACCAAAGAGAAGCTATCATTATGGCCAATGCTAAACTCAAGGAGAGCAACACTCTACGCCTTCTTGGCCTCATGTTTTCTAGTGACATGACGTAGAGTGACTGTATCGAATCTATTGCTACGTCTACTGCAAGGAAAATTGGTTCACTGTGTTGTACCATAAAACTTCTCTTCAGAATCCATCTCGCACATTTACAAGTCTACCATTCCCCAGTGTATTGAACGCTGTTGTCATATCTGGTCTGGTGCTCATGATGTATATGTCGGGATTCTTGAGAAAATTCAACAAAGGGTCTGTAATGTTATCGATCTTGGCTCGGCATCTTGACTTAAGTCACTTTCTCACAGTCATGACGTAGTTTCCAGTTTGTCTTTTCTACAAATATTTTCTCGATGCAGCACCAACTCTGTCCTACTCTAACATATTCTTTTCTCGTACTTCTCACCCGTGGAACTCCCTTCTGATTTCTTGCTTCGCTGATAACTTCAATCTCCAAAAAAGTAAGTGCAACGTAAATCCCTATCTTCTGTCTTCTTGAACCCTGTTCCTTTTTTGTCCTTTCCCCATACACAATACAATCTTCTCATTCTTTTTTTACACCCTGTAACCCCTTGCGTCTTAGTGGTATTATCACCTTGCTTGAGGTGAAAAGATTTAAAAATACTATATAAAAATATAAGACCGTTTAACGAAACCTGATTGCAATAGAAGTTGAACGCTTATAATTTTCAATATCTGTCTATATCTTTGAGATGAGGTATTATGATTACTTACATTATTACATTATTCGGATTGTTATATTTAGGTTGGAGAATACAACGACCGAAACGCCGTGAATATGGCCTTGAAGATGAGGGTAGCAGTCTGAATAATGTAAATAATGTAAGTAAATATAATTTTCATTCTAACGCATTAGTACAAAATATGTCGATGCCATTAACATTGAAATAACAAGTAAATCTATTAATGTCTAATTTCCAGTGGTTCTACAGAAGGATGCTGAGGAAACCATGGACCGAATGAGTTACTAACGACGAAGTTTTAGAGAAAATGGAAACAAAAAAAAAGAAATTTATGCTTAGCATCAGGAAGAGACTATTGAAACTTTTAGGACAAGTAATGAGGAAAGAGGGCTTGGTAAATCTGATAGTCACAGGACAGATTGAAGACGAGTAGGATATAGGAAAACAGCTAAAACCTACTTAATGAGTTTGAATAAATGGATGGCAGAACAAGGTTTAGGACAGATAAAAAAAGACAAAATTTACTAAGAGCTACAAAGACAGGGAATTGTGGAGAGCTGTGATCGTCTACGTCCTGAAGAGAGACAGCACATAGAAGCAGATTCTATTCAGATATAGGACATCCAATGGGGATTAATCTCAGTATCCTGCCAGTATCCTTAACCAACGAAGAGGCAACATGTAACAGAAAGCGAAGACTTCAGAGAGGTCTTTGAGGAAGAAACTCACTATGCAGTAATAATTGTTGGGTAGACGAGCTCCCTAAAAATTACCCCTACAAATTATCATATGTGACATAGATTAATTTAGTATGGCACCCTGAATACTGTATTTCAAGATAATCTCTCCACTGAAATATTTTATGATAAATAAGCGAACATGATTCTTATTCTTCGATTAAACATTTACATAAAAATATCTTTATAGCATGAATACATGCGCGCATATGTGAGACTTTTTGTCGATGCACATGTGTACGCGAGAGTGAGTGCGTCTGGGCATGTGCGTTTGTTTTACATGTTCCACATAGCCAAACACACTCACTCCTGGGTACTAGTCTGTGAGAATTGATAATGCGTATGCATTTCCAAAGTGATTCATCAACACCGCCTATAAATGGTGTAGGTGTTGTACCAGAAATATGCACGTGCATTTAGATAAACGACTGACTTTCTTTTAGACATTTTCATCTTACGAAAGAGAAGTAATCAATCAGATAACGGACAATTTGACATGTAACTGACGCCAGCGACCCGGACGTTACTGTATATAAATATTTCAAGATTAAACCCTCCCCGCTTTCTATCTGCCTGCTTCTCTCTCTCAGTTTCTTTCTTTCTCTCTCTCTCTCTCTCTCGCACACACACACACAAACACTTCAATGGATTTTTTATTCGATATTATTTCTTTATTAATATAAACGGTATTTTTTAATAGGTACACGTATCCAGCTATAGAAACAGGTTCCCTGCTGAGAAAGTGGATAGAGGTTCGATTCCAGTCGGAAGCATGATAAGTCCCAGTAAGAAAACAGGAATGTCTACTGAAACACATACACACAGTACATTCCCAGTTATAAGCGATAATTTTGGATTTTTAACAAAACTCTTATTACTTATATATATATATATATATATATATATATATATATATATATATATATATATATATATATATATATATATATAAATCAAATTCACCCTAAGCAAGGCTGAAACGCCATTAAGGCAAAAGGGGTTTCTGGGCGTGGAGGAATTAGGAGATATTACTAAGGAGCAAGTACAAAAGTAATGCAATCAGGAGGGCTTAGATAGCGATTGACATTGAATTTAAAGTTTTGAAGATTAAGCATGGAGATGGAGAGAATTCCACAAGCAAGAAATGCGAGAAAAACTGTTAGCAGTAAACATCTAGCCAACTCAACTTAAAGTTGATTAGACCTCAAATCGCTTTGGAAAATAAACAGTACGGACAGTGTTTACGCTCTCTTACTCCCACGAAACCATAAACTTCGGCTATGGAAACAGTTTCTCAGATGGAGAAAGAAATAAAGGTTCGATTCCTGTCGAAGGAACAATCTTTCTTTAGTATTATAATATATATTCTTTAGCAACATTTTTCGTTAAATATGGCAAAAAAGGAAAATTTAATTAGTTTTTTATTTAGTTTATCCAGCGTCGTTAGGTTTTCCTGTTTGGTAGCAGTAAGAGAGTACAAAATCTTTCTACAATTTGCATTATTCCAAGTGCTTTGAAACATTTCTTTAGCCATTTTCAAGGGGGGGGTGCTGTTGTTCGTTTGCCTGAGCATCTTTCTATTTAAAAAAAAAAACAAACAAAATTTTTTTGACGCTCGATGCATACTGTTATATAAGGTGAGGTTGATAATATGAAAGAGATGTTTAATATACGGGGACTCTCTAATAGCGTGATGTTTCCGGTAATGTGATTTATACAGAATGTTAGTGTTTTCCACCATAATTTTTCGTTGGGGGTTCTTAAAAATTGTGGGTATGGATATTTTTATAGCATTTTGATCTGATAATTGACATGTGAAGAGTCTACTCAAAGAGATAGTAGTATGTCATATATATATATATATATATATATATATATATATATATATATATATGCATAGAGAGAGAGAGAGAGAGAAAGATGATAATATATTCATGCACAAAAGTTCCCAACGACCTATATTTGGAAAAATGAATGTCTACGGCTAAACCGTATTTTAAAATAAATTTGACTGTAGAACACTTGCACACAGCTAACACGCACACACACACACACACATATATATATATATATATATATATATGCCGAGTTTTGAGATTTGAATCGTGTTTATTTATGATAATTTTACTTTTTAAATCAATTGTATTTACTCAAATTTGACTTTTTAAATCGATTTTATTTCTTATAATTTTAAAATTTTACCAGGGTATTGGTCCGTGAAAATTATTTTATATAGTCATTTGGCTGTCTTTTTGCTGAGATATTTAAAATTTTAGACTTTTTTTTTTTTTTTTTTAATTTAGAAACAGTTGCTATATATGCTCGGAAAATAGACCGACAACCCAAAATCAGGCCCCTTTTTATGGATTCCCGCCACAACTTACTTCCGGTGATTGTCGCTGCTATATTGCCAGAAAACATAAGCACGTGACATTAACATTCTTGCGTTAAGTATGCTCTATTTACCAATGCAATTTTAATATAGAGGGGGGGGGCATTGCATGTGAATACCTGAAGAGGGTCGTTGGAGAAAAATGGTTTTGAGGTTCACGTTGACTCGAGAACAAGTGACAGTAATATATGACTAAGCAATAAAATCAGAGCTAGGTGGAACGACTTATAAATAACAGGAAGGATAAAAGATGGAGTAAAAGGTTGGTAGAATGTTTCCAAGTTGGAAATTATTAGGTAGAGCGATAGATTTGTTGTTGAGACATGTCCCGAACATTCTAAAATAAATGTCCAGTTTCTACTACAAATTTTATCTATTATTCTATATATCTACCTAGAGAGAAAACCAGATAAGTATGTGTTGGGGTATGTGTATGTAAGTATTTATATATGCATGGATATATCGATAAAGAGAAAAGGAGATATTATATTCAGAGAGAACCAGAGAAAATTATATCTATCTACCGTCAAAAAGTAACGCTAAATTGATCTTACAGTTGTAATGGTTTGTGTGCATTTGTTCGTTAATGTGTGTACATTAACAATGAAATGAAAAATTTGACAAGCTGAAACAAATTAAAAGTTAGCTTTTTATGGAAGCAATTCTCGTCTTTTCTTTCGACAAATAAAAGTTTTCAAAGTGTTGTTTGCTGCGAGATTAAAATACTCGATTTAAAAACTTTAAAACCTGACGCGGATATACTATTTTCTTTTATTTTTCATATCATTAGAAGGAAAAATTCTGAAATTGAAAAAATAAATGTAAAAGAAGAAATCTAGAGTTTTATTCGGCGAGATAACAAATTAAATATCTTTAAAACAAAATTCCTTAGTAAACCGATATTATCACCGACTTCAAGGATAGGGAATATAGAATAGGATGCGTTAGGTGTAGTTTCCCACAACACCTCTAATTTCTACAAAACCAAAACATTAACGTAAAATCTCGAGTACTTAAATAACCCCGCAAGAATGAGAGATTCATTTGGATGCCATGCATGGCACCCGATCCCCCCCACCACAAAAAAAAATCTTTCAAATATAGCTTTGTCAGATCAATAATTAAAAATAGCTTGGATGCCTGTAGTTCCTTGCGAAGTTGATTCTTCTTCGAACGAAGTGTCACTGGCGCTACACAATCATAAACAGAGAATTATACCAGAAAGAAAAAAAAGAACATCACTTGGGCACTTTCAATAGCAGCAACAACTAAAATGGATGTCACATGTAACTCGAAGATAAAATAATGACATAATCTAGATGTTGACATTCTACATAGCTTCAAGTAAACATTTATGAAGGAAACCACTATCAATAACGGGAAAAGCGTTAATAGTTACTGGTCTAGAGAAACCGATTTTCCTGAAAAATTATTTTAAGAAAAAGATCAACAGGATTCACTCGTTCAAGGCCATTTTGAAGCATTGTTCTTAGAAAACGGTTGTATGCAACTGACGTTTTAGTTAATTCAGAACAGATTTGACGCTATGCATGACATGCACATGAAAGTTTCAGTCTAACGAGGCTATTTATGATCATGACATGAGTTTTCAGGTAAATGTTTTGGTTTTGTATCGCTTTCCGTTGTTAGGCGTAACTAACTCTAGCACAGCCTATACTGTGTTCAATTTTACTTTCATCTATACTAACTTTGTTATAATTGATCCACACGTCTATTTGTTTGAAGTATTTGGTATTTACAAAATCCACTTATTGAATTCTTTTGATTGATTCAGCGTATTTCTGCTTTCATTCCAGTTCCAGATTATAGTTTCTTTTTTTTTTAAATGTTCCAGATTACTGTTTCTTTTTTTTTTGAAAGGTTCCAGATTATAGTTTTTTTTTTTTGAAAGGTTCCGGATTATAGTTTCTTTTTTTTTTGAAAGGTTCCAGATTATTGTTCCTTTTTTTTTTGAAAGGTTCCAGATTATTGTTCCTTTTTTTTTTGAAAGGTTCCAGATTATTGTTCCTTTTTTTTTGAAAGGTTCCAGATTGTTGTTTCTTTTTTTTTTTGAAAGGTTCCAGATTGTTGTTTCTTTTTTTGAAAGGTTTTTTTTTTTCTTTTTTTTGGTTCCAGATTGTTGTTTTTTTTTTTTTGAAATTGTTGTTTCTTTTTTTGAAAGGTTCCAGATTGTTGTTTTTTTTGAAATTGTTGTTTCTTTTTTGGAATACTTTTTTTTATTTTGGAATACTTTCTTTTTTTAATCGAAGGTAAAAAGCAAAGTAGTAAAGCCAATGAGACACAAGGGATTACTAGATGAAGAAGCGTTAGAAACCGGAACAATTGCTAAGGAGCGTGAACAAAGGAAGGTAAGCGGGAGGACATTAGATAGCGAGTGACATTGCATTTAAATTTTTGCAGATTGACGTTAGCTGGAAAGCATGTAGCCGGAAGTGTGTTCCACAGAAGTGCGAGAAAAGAAACTTTTAGCATAGAATTTACGGTTAAGTCTAACTACCTCAACTGTAAATTGGTGAAACCTCGACGCCAGTCTAA